GTCGAAAATCGGAATATATATTATGTCTGATTTTAGGCACGAGTTTCAATCGCTTATATTAATTCGAAATTTAACGACATACACCCCTAACGTGGATGTTTTGAAAGCTTGTGAAAATGCCTACATTTTAGTGGAATTTATATTGGCAGGTTAGTAGAAAATTCGCTGAGAAAACGTTCGCAACAAACTTTTGTCATGCCACGGAAATTCAAAAACTATTTTCAAAAGTTCAAAAGTCTCGCCTTGCTGCGCATGTAAGCACACGCATTTGAAGCTTTCATAATATGTAGTTAAAAACATTTTATAGTGACAGACGCAGGTGGAAAGCTTATTAAAATTGAAACGGCCTAGTATTTTGAAAATGATGTGGTACTGCCAGACGCATATAAAAAATCGAGCTTCAATTCAACAGTATTGATAATAGTATTCGCTATAAAAACTAACCCACTGTGTTTCCTCCAGAATAATAGAATATCAGCCTTGCACAAAATTTTTTGAGGTTCTTTACTTTACTGCTTACTTGTTTGTTCGAGGATCTGACACGACGCGCAAAGGAGTTTAGGAATGCCGCCAAAACTTGGCTTTATTAAATTAATAAATTATTACAGTAATTACAGTAATAATTCCGGGTTTTAAAGATTCTTAAAGAAAACTTGCTCGTCTTTAACCGGCTTAATTGTCGCTTTGACAGAGATATTTTTAAAACCATTGTTTATATGAACTTGCAACCAATCAAAATCTTTCATGATGCTGATCAACCAATCAGATTTCCCGTCCACCAGATGGATTTTAACCCCATATCCGTTCCGTTCCGCATTTTAACCCCATATCCGTTCCGTTCCGCATTTTAACCCCATATCCGTTCCGTTCCGTTTCGCATATCCGTTCCGTTCCGCATTTTAACCCCATATCCGTTCCGTTCCGTTCCGCATATCCGTTCCGTTCCGCATTTTAACCCCATATCCGTTCCGTTCCGCATTTTAACCCCATATCCGTTCCGTTCCGTTCCGCATTTCCCTTCCGTTCCGCATTTTAACCCCATATCCGTTCCGTTCCGTTCCGCATATCCGTTCCGTTCCGCATTTTAACCCCATATCCGTTCCGTTCCGCATCCGTTCCGTTCCGCATCCGCTTCCGCGTTTTAACCTAACCCTTTATATTTGTATGTGTATTGATATCTATTTAATATTTGAAGAATTCTATATTTTTCCGAGTAATATATTGTGCGGCCCGCTAATGCTTTGTATTATTGTTCATGTTGCACAATGTACACGCCTTGCGTCAATTTGACAGTTGACAGTTTATTTATCGCAGTCGACGCTGATTGGTTAGCGTTTAGCAGATGCGAAAAGGGGATGATTGAATAAAACGCATGGTTCCGTGCAGGCTCACCTTTCTGCCAGTGAGCCTGTTCGCAGGCTAAGTTTCACCGGGTTATCCAAATGGCATCTTGTGATCAAATAGGTGATTATCATTGGCTGAATTGCTTATGAATTATTAATGAATTTGAGAAGTAATATATGAAGAGCGATAGCGAGTGTTTCACCCTCTGTGTTTCACCGGGATATCCAAACACGAGAAAACAATGTATGAAAACACGAGCGCGAAGCACGAGTGTTTTCATACATTGTTTTCGAATGTTTGGATATCCGGTGAGACACGAGCTCGAATTGTTTATATGGCTTCTCAAAGGAATCGAGACGTAGCAGAATGTTTTCGTCTGCTGATTCAATAGAATTCTTAACCAAGCATAACGTAATTAGGAATTTTATTCAAGTAATTTTGCATGCGTAATTAAGACATTTGACGAAAACACTAGTTTTCATCAGGTTTCACCGGGTTATCCAAATGCATCTTGTGATCAAATAGGTGATTATCATTGACTGAATTGCTCATGAATTATTAATGAATTTGAGAAGCTACATAGAAAGACTGACGTACAGACTGACAATATACCTTTTATGCATACTAATTTTCTGGGTGCTACTCGTTATAAAATATGTTTAGTCTGATTTTAAAGCTTGTTCTTTTCTCTTTCGAACATCGGATAATTTGTATCTTAAGTGCAAGTAATAACCGCAGCATACTGTTGTTATATCACACGGGAAAAAGTAGTAAGAATTATTTATTAGTCGTGGTTTGAAATGTCCCCCCCCCCTCCCCCTAACAGTGCGTGACTGCATGCCAACTATAGTTTTCATTAATAACTATCATCCTCCTTTTGCTCATTAAACTTTCATCCTCAAATTTTCAAGAACAGTTTAGCATTGAAAATCCGAATGTTTAAACATAAATCGTCTGCTTTGTTATTCTTTTCGAAACTTTATACGTTTGAATCGAGGATTCCGTCTATCTTTATACTCCCTGTACAGTCAGTATAAATGAGTAAAATATACTCTTGTAAATTTTCCAGGTTTATACAGATTACAAAGAAAACATGATAAATTACAGATATGAGCAACAAAACATGACCAATATATCAGCAGAAGCAATGTCTCAACTTCTTCAAAACAACAAGTTGATCATGTCACGTGATGGTCATGCGACTTTGATAAAGAATGACGTCACTTATGAATATGGTGGGATTTCCAGAGGCGGAGGAACCAATATGATTGGTTTAATTGCACTTTCAATTGCATTTGGGGTTGTTTTGAATATTATTAAAGAAGATGGATTGCCTTTGGTTAACTTGTTCAGATCATTGTGGACTGCAAGTATGAAACTGGTCCAAATTATTATGTGGTATGTCTCATACAAAATTTGCCAACAATAAGACATACGTGATACGTCTACATTTGAAAATAATTCATTAATATGAAAAAACAGAAACCAAATAAACTAGAATAAATGGCAGCAGAATTTTGTTATCAGTAAGTTGCCGGCGTTCGCGAAAAATTATTTAAAAAATTATTAAAATAAGCAAAACAAATTTTTGGGCTTCTTTCTTTGGAAGAAAACAGTAGCCGATTTGCAAGAATGTAAATTATTTTATTCAAAGTTATGAGAAAATGCCCTGAATAAAGACATTAAGCTGAAATCGGGTAATTTCCGAAGATGCAAGTTGTTTTGACTCCCTGGACAGATGAAATTGAAAAATTAAACATGCCGTGGGTTTAAAATTTATATTTCATGTATTTTTTCTACGCAAGACACCTTTAGAAAGTTTATTTATGATTAAATTCTTAAAAAGACTTATGCTGAAAATAGAAAAACGCTAAAGTCAAGATTGCAGAAAACTTAAGATTGCAAAAAATCTAGTCGAGAGCTTCAATCATTGGTATGAAATAGGTAATTGGACAAGTACTGGTGTAAGACATTGTGTAGCCTAAATAATGAGGACCAGTAGTTCAATTGGTTATCCTTTATTTATTTACTCCGACTCCTGTGATGGTGAACATGTACGCAAAAAAACAAGGGAAACTACGATTAGATAGTAACTGAATATGTGAATTTTATGTGACATGATGAGGGCGAGGATATATAAGAGCGAGAGATTGAATTGGAATAGCACAAGGAGATGAATACCACCCCAACAGGCCTCGTACCTAAGGTGGAATGCAGGGTCAGATTACCGCATGACCTACGCAAACTATGGGATGAAGCCCTCATACCCTCCTTGATATACTAATTGAGAATCATAATCGTACTAAAACTAATCTCTTAACCAACATAGATAATTCCCACCAATATATATATATATAGTAACGCTCCAGACAAACTAACGGCTTCTAATATTATACAGGTCACTAATGATATTGGTGATAAAACTAACAAAGGTAGAACCCTCCGCAGATTTAAACCGTATAAACGCCATAACAACGCGTCGCATGGTGGTTCTTATACATCTCCACCTTATGTGTCGACGAAAACCACTTCTTCTACGAAAACCACTATCAATACCCCGTCTCGCTATCGACTACCCAAACATTAACACCACTAATGAGCTGCACCCCCAATAATATTAATCCTAATACCAACAACACAAGGAGAATTAATTCAACAGTTGGTTCCTCGTCTCCTCACATAATACAGCCCTCTCTTCTAGTTCCCCCGGCTAGAGTCAGGTCACAACGTGTTGGCTCAACCATCACCAGAAATATGTCTAGCCCACGTACTCCTACACCATACCCCTTCCCCTTCGCACCTAACATGAGGAATAGCAATAATAACACCACCACTAACGTAACTAATTCTAATTTGGAGGATTTTCTCTCGCGCATGCATCTGCCCAGCTATCATCTGAACATGAGAAACAATACGAAGCCCCGCTAACTAACAAGCTAACCAAAACTAAATTACGTAAATTTTTGCACACTAAACGAAACAACAATAATTATCGAATTAAAAGTAAAAGACGTATATTCAAACTTAACCATAATCTTCCCAATGACATTATTCTTCTAACAATAGATGTTAGATCTCTGTACACTAACATCCCGCATGATGAAGGTATCGCCGCATCAATTGAATACCTTCAGAGATTTAATAGCGAAGCTAACACTGATTTTCTACAGGAAATACTAACACTTGTACTTCATAACAACTATTTTGAATTCGATAATAAATATTATCTCCAGACCCAAGGTACTGCTATATGGGTTCTCCAATGGCGCCCTCATATGCCAATCTTTTCATGGGTCAATTAGAACACAACATGCTAAGGGATGCCCCTGGTGGATTGATTCCACTTGAGTGGATAAGATTCATCGATGACATCTTTGCAATATGGACACATGGAATTGATAAACTAAAGGAGTTCCTTCACTATATTAACAACTTCCATCCCACTATTAAATTCGAAATTGAGTACTCCTATGAAAGAGTCCATTTTCTTGATACTAATATTTACATTAACAACCTTAAACAACTGGAATCTGACCTTTTTATTAAACCTACAGATAAAGCTCTACTGTTACATAATGAATCCTTTCACCCTAATAACTGCAAAATTAGCATATATAGCTAAGCCCTTAGATACGTACGGCTAATTACTAACCGTAACAGATTGAGTGTATGCCTTCAAGACCTATGTGTTAATTTAATTACTAGGGGCTATACTAACAATATAATTGATAATGCATTTAATAAAGCTCTACAATACACTCAGTCCAATCTATTAATTGACGAAAATCAGGAAAATATTAATAAAATTGTTCGGATTAATGATAATTCTACTAACCAGTGTCCAACTAATGAACCTAATAGTAATAAACCCATACTAACGTTCTCAGTACCATATAACACTAATACCACTCATATAGGATCTATCTTGCGTAAATACTGGCATCTTATTGACCAAGACCCATCACTAAAGCTTTTATGGCCTGAATCCCCTTTGGTTTCCTACAAACGCAACCATAACATTAAGGATCACATAGTGCATTCCAAGCTCTCAAATAATTAACACTAACAAAATTAACCGCAGAACTAACACCACATCTGACAGCGGATTCGATATGAGATATGTTTGTTGGAGTTCCCTCATTGGTCGTGGCAATTCTGGATATTTTGGCCATGTTTTTGCAACAGAGACCTCACGTTTTGAACAATAATGTATAACACTTTCAATAGCATCTGTCAATGACCAGAGAAAGGACATGCTGCGTACTCACTTAAAAGATTTAATCGTCCTGATTGGCAGTTGAAAAGGATTAACATTGATGTCCACAGCCAATTTTTATCATAACAATCCTCGGCATCTACTGTGGCATTTCCTACTATAACACCTTCATGAAACCACTCGAATAGACTCAGAAATCATGCAAGTTGGTCTACCTCACCATACGCCTACAGTTGACAATAAAGATATAGTCTGATGTCCTTGGACATACCTAATATATGTTTAGACGGTCACTAGCAAGAGTTTTAATAATTCCTTTACCCAGTTCTGGGTCCTTTATACATGTTCAAACAAAGTATTGCATGCTGATTAGCACGTTTTACAAGGTTTATTCAGTAATTGTCAGCGCATGACATTCCATGATATTTTTAATCCCAATGTGGTTAAAACATTATCTTTGTTACTTGTTTTAGTCGAAAAAGCTTGCTTTATGTTCTATATACTAAAATAACAATATACAGATATTAACTCATAATAATTTATAGTGAGTAACAAGTAAATTGATATGCCAGAAACTAGACAAGCAACAGCTTCTCAGTCAGCCGAGCTTCGAACCGACATGAGGGAAACAATGCGAAGTGAACTAAACGACTTTTTTCGGTCGAGTGAATTTAAAGAAATCTTATCCAAAGCAGTGTCTACTCTCGTTGAAGAATCTGTCCAACAAGCCACAAAACCTCTTTTGGAAAAGATAGAAGCATTGGAAACAGAACTAACAAATGTCCGTGTTCAAGCAAACGAAAACGAGCAATATTCCCGAAAGTATAATTTAAGAATCGTTGGTCTGAATGAAAACGATGGCGAGAATTGCGTTAGAGAAGTAATTAAGCTCTGTAAAGAAAAGTTGAACGTTAATGTGGACGAGAGGGATATCGATCGTGCACATCGTCTTGGTCCGAAAGCGCTTAGCGGGAGATCAAGAACTGTAATTGTAAAGTTTAAATCGTATAGTGCAAAGGCGGAAATCTGTAGGCAACGCAAACTTTTGAAAGGTACGCAATACTATATTAACGAAGATTTAACTAAGTTCAATATTGAATTGCTTAATTATGCCCGTGATCAGAAAAGTTTTATTAAATCAGCTTGGTCTGCAGATGGAAAGATTTTAGTCCGCAACTTGGATGATAAAATTACTCGAATTCGTCAATTCAATGATTTCTTGAAGTTTAACCTAACCGATCCATCTTACTGACAATAGTGTCAGCTTTATGCATGGACTATTCGTCTAGAACTAGGTCTAAGAATAATTTTATACTGTTAACGTTGTGAATTGTTGCTGTGAATTGTTGAGGATTGCGTACTGTTGGAACGGATAATAAGCAATGAAGAATTTCAGACTTTGTAAAACATAATTTAACGAAAATCGGAACGTTTTTGTTTTTTTGAATATATATATAGATATATAGGAGAGCTTGGCATGAGATGTACTGATTGAATATGCAAATCTCATCGGCGAATTAAAGCTGATGTGATTTGCCATAACAACTGTTTATTATACTATTAAGAGACTCTTTAGAATTTAATGCTTATTTGTCATTACTCATTATGAAGCTGCTTTAGAAAGTTATTCATAAATACAATTTACTTTATTGTTATATTGAAAAGCCATACCTAGCCACTAAAACCCAATTCAAATGAATCATGAAGCTCAACTTTTTTTAGCATTTATAATGCTTATTATCACTGATCGTATATTTTTAGTGGAAGAATATCTGATTGTTATGTTCTTAAGTTTTCGTTTATGTTTATTTCTTTGTGTAAGTTCAAGATTTATTGTAAGATGTTTTGCAGCAGCCGTGCAGGTACAAAGTGTTCGCGTCTATGTGATGGCAATTAGTCCAACGGTTCACAGAGCAGCAATCGGAACATCTAATAACAGAAAATTTAACCGTGCTAGATTCAGCATATTAATAGTATTGATAACTACTTCTGGACTCAACCTTTACATTCTGATTTCTAACTACTTAATGGTTCGGTTAATAATGGCAGGTGATGTTGAACTAAATCCTGGTCCAAAGATGACATGTCTTAACATTGGTCATATCAATGCTAGAAGTCTAGTGAATGAAGAGAAATTTGAGGAAATTTCTTCTTTTATCTTGCAAAAAAATTTTGAATTGTTTGCGATCACTGAAACATGGCTAAACAGCCAAATTTCGAATGATGATCTGTGCATATCCGGTTTTCATGCTATTATAAGGAAAGATAGACTAAATACACGGGGTGGTGGTGTTGCATTATACATTACACAGTCATTAGCATTTAAGAGACGTAACGATTTAGAAAATAACAATCTAGAATTACTTTGGGTTGAAGTAAAAGTACATAAACAAACCTTACTATGCGGAGTTTGTTATAGAGCGCCAAATAACTCTTTGCAAGATGTATCAATTTTTTTGGATTCCTTACAAAGTATTATAGATAAAATACGTCAAAACCCACACACGTTTGTAATGATAATCGGTGACTTAAACGTTCACTACGATTGTAATAATTTATCAAGCACTGGTTTTGGTAATCACTTTAACCATTGGCTCCAGTGCAATGCATTGTATCAAATAATCAGAGAGCCGACCCGTGTAACAGAAACTACATCTACAATATTAGATGTTGTTATTACTAATTGTCCACGATATTTTTCTGATTCGGGTACATGTAGTCCACCATTGAATTGTGATCACTCCTACATCTACACAAAAATGAAAATTCCGTACTATAAGCAAAAGTCCTTTAAACGACACATTTGGGATTTCTCCAATATCAATATAGCACAGCTTAATGAGGAACTTTCAAATCTTAATTGGGAAAATTGGGAAAGAGAAAATAACCGGATTGACGATGTTTATAAAAACTGGTTTGACTATTTTTACTCAACAGTTAAAAAGCATATTCCAAATAGAATAGTTGTAATACGTCCTAACGATAAACCATGGATGACATCCGCTGTAAGAAGTGCAATTCGTAAAAGAAATAGAATTTTAAAGCAATTTTCTAAGAAAAAAACTCGTTTATTGTGGAAGAAATATAAAGATCAAAGGAATTACACGACAACTCTGATTCGAGAAACAAAAATAAAATATTATGACAAACTAAATATCCAATTATCAGATTTTCGTTTGGGCCAAAAAAAATGGTGGAGTTATGTTAAGTCAGTTTTTAATAATAATTAATACAAGTCTCCGAGTAGGAGAGTATCCAACTGAATGGAAAAAAGCAAATGTAACTCCTGTCTATAAAAAAGATGATCATCAACATAAAAAGAACTATCGTCCCATATCACTTTTACCGTCTATATCCAAAATACCAGAAAA